CCGCCTCGCGTTTCAACAGGTGCCGCAGCATCCTCTCATGATGCTGGCCGGTGTCCTCCGCCACGCCGACTCTCGTCTCCGCCTCCTCGGTTCTCTGTTCTAATTTCTCCATCCTTTGGTTCAAATCCGTGACCGACACTTCCAGTCTGGATAACGAGGCCTTAGTGTCTGCAAACGACTCCTTACTTTCTTTCCTCAACTCTCTTAACTCCCGGAGAATGTGCTCCATGTTCATTTCGCCCGCCTCTCCACTCGCCTCACTCGGGGAAGATGGCGTCCCTTTTTTTCCTTTCGCTTCTTCTTGCGATTTTTGCTGTTTACCTGCGTTCCGTGTGTCTCTGACCGTGTTCATGTTAGTCTGCAGTAATTTGGGTTCACCCTCTTTCAATTAAAATGTCTTATAATTCTACAAACAGCAAAACACCACCGATTTCCAGGGGAGCCCACACTCCGTGCGTGCAACTCAGAACATGGCGTCACCGGAAGTCCTAGTGAATCTTAACAGCCATTTGGGTATATAACATGGAGTGAACCATGGCATACTGTTGAATGAGGTTATGTTCCAAAGCTAAATGTTTGAAATGAGATTTCCCTACTTCTGGAACAGAAAAATCTATATATTCTGCTTGTACTTAGGCTTTTTATAATATTGTATGTGGTGTTGACAGAGTTGCAGATTGTAACTTATAACTCAGGAAGTGCATTTCCATCTACCTTTTTTATGTGCATTTTCAAATTTTGCAGAAAAAAATCCTGAGAGGAACTGGCATAAATCTGAGCGAAAGTCAAAATATTGCAAATGAGTTTTTATGCGTGGCTCAGGCGGAATTTTTGGTGTATTATTAAATACATGCGACAAAGTAATGGAAACAGACTTAATGAATAAATCATGTGGTACATTAAGCTTCCAGGTCACTAAAGAGACATTAAATTGCAGCAGACAAAACATCAGATGTGTATGGAGTGATGAGGAGGCTGAAACGTTCCTCACAATAACACAGGAAACAAACCCAAATGTTACATTTCCCTCATGTTTTCCACGTTGTTCTTATTTAGTTCAAGATTTGACTGGCATTCTTTATTGGACCTACATCTTGTTGTATCCTCTTCTTCTGTGGTGGTTTAAAGATGAGTTGGTAACTTTTATAAAGATATTTTTTTATGTCATATCCACCTTATTTTTCACGGAAACATGGAGGCAAAACAGAACGCAGCCAGCTTCCGTTTTTTTGTGCGACACTTCCGGTCCAGCACTCTTACCAGTGTGTAAATGGGAATCGCCTTGTTGTTTACCTTGCTGAGTTTAGCTATATATATGTATATATCACATTTTTCACATCACTATATCACCGTTTAGACTAATCTGATAAGTCTATAAACACAATGACTGAACAAACATTAGTATTTTCTCTGTGTGTAATTAATAACATGGTTATCGTAGATTAGCTGGGCTAACCGTTAGCTGTTACCTGTTAGCCATGTCTGTAATAACTCACTAAACTCACAAAGTGGCACGTGAAAAAAATATTTTCTCCAGAGAATGTCATAATTACAACATGATTGAGCTAACTGGAGTAGTTTCATGTCGTATCCGACAACGGGAGGCTTTTAACGGATGACGATCCTGATGTTAGCTTTGCTGCTAGTGTTAGCTGTCCCTGTCAGCTGCAGCCACTGATGCTTTCTAGACATCGTGATTTCCCAAAACTGAATAAATACCACACATAGCAACACAAAACTGCTTTGCTAGTTCAATCATGTTGTAACGGCTGGATGGTTGATGCGTACATGCTGATTCGGGTGCTATCAGAGCCGATCCGCGCATCACTATGGCTTAATGATCAACTCAGTCAATTAAAACAACCCGTCCTGTGTTAGGAGTGTATGTCGCTGACAGAAAGAAAGAAAGAAAAGGGAAAAAAGATAGAGAAGCAGTGTACACCTCACATATTTATTTCTCACAGTTGCGCACGCGTTTGGCTGGCATGCAGAAGCACCATCTGTGTGTCGAGGGTGCGAGTCGCAGCTTCAGCTGCTCAGGTAGAGAGGCTTAGCCCGGTGTGTTTTTTCGCTGATTCGGTTCTGCAGGTTCTCTGCTGGTACACTGGAGACAGGGATCAAGTAGTTTGTCTCACTCGGGATAGATTGTGCTGTTTTGGTTCATAGTTTATGATTGACGTGCGATTTATTCGCATTTAGAAGGAATAAATTTCTGTTATAACGGAAACGTGGGCACAGTTATCTATACAAAATACACAGACTAACTAACTAACTAACTAACTGATTGACTAACATAAACAACTGAAAATTAAAAAAAAAAAAAAAAAGCTTGCACCGTTAGCTCCGGTAAGGGAAAGCATGAGGGAAAGCGGCTGACCGGAAGTCACACACAAAAAAACGGAAGTTGATCACTATTTACTTCTGTGTTTGAAAATAAGGTGGATAACTGTCACTTGTCATCTGTGGAAAACATCATGTTCCTCCTCCCCAGACTGTCTCTAATGAAATCTGTGAGAATCCACTGCAGCTGAATAAAATACAACCAATCAGAGCTGAGGACTCTCTGACACAGCTGTCAATCATGTCAATCACTGCTCCTGAACTGCAGTCGGACTGTCAAACTAGACAGCATTGATCAAATATGAATCAAGATTCAGTTACTGCGTTGCCTATTTCTTTCCTTTAATGTTTTCAGAAACAATTTGCTCCAGCTGGTTGGCAGTGTTTGGTTTTGGCTTGACTGTGTCCAACATAGTGACTGGCTAATAAACTTTCTCATTTCACAACTAAACAGTAACTAAAATATGTTTCTGAAAATATTTGAGGTGAGCAATAGGCAACGCAGTAACAGAATCTTGATTCATATTCGATCAACACTGCCTGGTTTGATGGTTTGACCACAGTTTACGAGCAGCGATTAACATGACTGACAGCAGTATACGGCAGCATGGCCGTAACATCACTACTTGTTGAGTCAAATAGCTTTTTAGTAGTGAAGTTGATTACTTGACCGAGTAGCGCACTTGTATCCACAAAAGTTATAAGCTCTGAAGTGACTTTTTGGATAAGGATAAGTAATATGACTGACGCCAGCACCACACTGGGGCATGTAGATGAGGAAAGCACTTCCATATGACATCACACACTAATCCCTCAGTTTATTCTGCTTGCTGCTTGGCTATTGGCTTTTCTTAGCATAACCCACCTGATTGGCTACATTTCTCATATCTCATGTTTTTTCAGCAAATGTGACAAAAATGTGTTTCTATAGAAGTTACCAACTACAGCTTCAGTGGTACTGACTAGACAATTAGTGCCACCAGCTGTTAATCTCGATGCTCCCAACTCCTAATATTCACATACAGTAACAGTAATGGTGGAAGGGTGGAAATGCACATTAACAGTTACAGCTTCTGTAGTTGATAGAGGTTGTTTAGTACCTTACACCCCTTTAAAAGAACAGTGAAACATTTTAGGAAATATTCTTGTTATCCAGGGTTAGGGGATGATGTGAGTAAAGTTCACGGTTAGAAGTGGAAAAAAAATCTGGGCATGGACATGTTTAAGGCTTCAGCATGCATGATATGAAGTGCATGTCAGATGGTTTAACACAAGGGTCAACAACCTTAACTATCAATAGAGCCATTTTTGAAATAAAAAATAAAAATCTTGGGCCACAAAACCTGAAGGCTTTGAAAGCCTAGGCCTGAAATAAGTCAGTTTCCTTTTGCTGTTGTATATTATAAAGTGTCACATATTTGTGAGTGCTGACAACGTCATTTGCTATTGCATAATTTTTGTGTGGTCACTTGTTGTACTCTAAAGATGTTTGAGTTAAGCATGCCAGTTCTTTTGTTTGAGCCTTATAATTAAAGAAACAACCTATTAAGTCTAAATTTTCCTATTAAAATTAAAAACAAGTCATGAATAGTATCCCATATATGTTTTATCGCGAGGTGGCTGCTCTGCAGTGAGCTATTTATGATTATTTTGTACTCTATTTTGCAGCATTGGCAGTGAAAACATACAAATCCATGCACACACTGTCAAATGCTATATTTTCCTCTGATACTTTTTCTTTTTTGGATTTGGAATCCATAGTCAGCTAACTAGTAAAACTCAAGACTAGCCACCACTGTTGAGGTTCAGCAAAATCTTGAGGAAAAGGCATCAGGCCATAGATGAAAAACACACATTTTAGTTGATGATATGTTGAGACATTTTTTCTATTTAGTTTATAGGCTATACATTTAAAAATTGAAATGTTAAGAAATAACCATTATCCATTTCTATATATTTTTTGTCAAAGCCACAGGGAGCCACTGGAGAGGGGCTAAAGAGCCCTATATGGCCCTAGAGCTGTGAATGCCCACCTCAGATCTAACAGCATCTGAAAGCTCCTTTCCTTCCAGAATCCCTATGAATTGTGCATTTGCAATTTGTGGCTTGATTTCCAAGGAAATATCACTCAAATATAGTAGTAATAGTGGTGGGTGGCAGAAATCTCAAAAGCTGGACAAATAAAACCAAAACTATATATGACTATCCCCTGTGGCTCAGGAGGTAGAATCCACCGCTAATGGAAGGATGGGAGCCCCGGCTCCTTGGGCCCATGTGTCAAAGTATCCTTGGGCAAGATACTGAGCCCCAAACTGTTCATTCTCTGTATGTGTGAAAGTTTAACTGAGTAGCAGATGGGACCTTATATGGTAGCCTCAGCCACCATATGGGAATGTGAAATGCAGTGTTAAAGTGCTTTGAGTGGTTGGAAAACTAGCAAGGCGCTGTACCCTTTTACCATAATGAGAAACCACTAAAGTTAAATAAGAAAATGTGTTTTTTGGATACAATGTGGAGAAAAGCAACAGTTGCTGGAAAACATTATCTCAACAACATTGTTAGCCATCTCCCTGTCTTTACCTGTGAATGTACCTCACCTTCCAGAGTGCAGTCTTAAGACAAACAAGTGTGATAACTAAAGGTGTGACATAGTTTCTTACCTTGAGCTGAGCCAGGTCACCAGTAGAAGAGGGCCTCCCCAGTATGTGGCTGCTAACTAGTGTATACTGACACAGCAGGGCCAGCAGGCCCCACAGGACCGCAGTCCTCATGTTATCCCTCTGCTGCTGCTACTGAGACTACAGCCTACATTGCAACACTTTATATACATGCCAACACAAAGACACACACACACACACACACACACACATGCACGCACGCATGCACGCACACACACACACACACACACACACACACACACACACTCACACACTCACACACTCACAAATCACCTACCACCAAGTACCACTTACAGGAACATCTGACCAGCTGTCTTATCATGCAGAGGTGTCAGAATGCACTTGAGGTAATCTACAAAATGATGAACCACTGACATTGACTGTCTGTTGCATGGTGAGTGTGTGTGTGTGTGTGTGTGTCCGTGTGTGTGTCTGTCTGTCTGTCTGTCTGTCTGTCTGTCTGTGTATCATCACGCTTACCAGCCAGCAGTGGCATGACCTCTGGAGCCATAGTGAAACTCTGAGCTCAGATCAGATGTAGTGTGTATTGACAGGAATGCAGCGTTCACCATGCAAATACTTAACACTGTCTCCCCTCCTGAGCCTAAAAAAATACCATAGTAGGTTAAAACTACTGTGCCTGGGTTACAGGGAGATCACATGGTTTAGATAAGGAGAGGAAGGAAACAATGTAATCATCAATTTAAGACATTTATAGTATATAATATTCATTATGATAGTTGATAACATTTTGGTTTGGTTTTGAGTTATGTATACTAGCAGTACTCCAACAAATTACAGGGCTGTTTCCACCCAACCCAGTAAAGATGGATTTGTAATAGACAATGCCAAATATTAACACCATTTTTTGACATTTTGGAAAATGCGCATAATCGATTTCTTGCAGAGTCTGAGATGAAAAATTGATACAGCTCTCAGACAAAAGATTGATAATGATCTCTACTCTCAGTCTATTTAAGAAAAGTAATCAATGTATTTCCCCATTAAATGTAATTACTGATTTTACAGCTTTAATAATGACAAGATGTTACGAGAACCCTGAGTAGAGATTGTTTTCCAGTTTCTAGAATAAACTGCAAATATCAACTCTGAAGTCAACATGTACAGAAGTCTCTGATGTTTTCAGAATCATGGAAAGTTTGAATGTGTGTCGTTCCATGACAACTAAGTTAACTCCACCTCTTGATGAAGATCATGGATTAAAGTTAAAAGCGCTGGAACAAAAGAGTAAGTGAACCTTGAGTGGATATTGTTTTGTCAGCTGTCATTTTCACTGACACATGCAAACTGTCTGAATCAGTTGGAATCAGCAAATATATGTTATCATTAATTCAGAAAAACATGTAGTTCACACTGAAGTGAGTGAAGATTCCTTACCAATATGTACTTCCCTGTTATCTTTTAAAGTTAAACTTATTAGACAACACTATTGGTAGTTTCGATTCTTAACTCAAGGTCCACTTATTCAGTTTCTCCTGGAGTACTGAGACACATGTTATCAGGCTCCTCTCCTGTGGAATCATCTTCCTGTTACGGTCCGGGAGGCAGACACCGTCTCCACATTTAAGACTAGACTTAAGACTTTCCTCTTTGATAAAGCTTATAGTTAGGGCTGGCTCAGGCTTGCCTTGTACCAGCCCCTAGTTAGGTTGACTTAGGCCTAGTCTGCCGGAGGACCCCCCTATAATACACCGGCCCCCTCTCTCTCTCTCTCTCTCTGTCTCTCTCTCTCGTGTCCTATTACTGCATCTTGCTAACTCGGCCATTCTGGATGTCACTAACTCTTCTTCTTCTCCGGAGCCTTTGTGCTCCACTGTCTCTCAGGTTAACTCATATCGCAGCGGTGCCTGGATAGTGTGACGTGTGTGGTTGTGCTGCTGCCGTGGTCCTGCCAGATGCCTCCTGCTGCTGCTGTTATCATTAGTCATACTTCTACTGTTATTATACACATATGATTATTGTCACATATGTATACTATCAGATATTAATATATACTTTCAACATATTGTACAACAGTAGCCAGAACTATAGTTATAATATTATAACTTTCATTAGTGTTGTTGTAAGCTACTGACATTACTGTCTGTCCTGCATCTCTGTCTCTCTCTCTCTCTCTCTCTCTCTCTCTCTTTCTTTCTGTCTCATTGTGTCATACAGATTACTGTTAATTTATTATGCTGATCTGTTCTGTACGACATCTATTGCACATCTGTTCGTCCTGGAAGAACGATCCCTCCTCAGTTGCTCTTCCTGAAGTTTCTACTGTTTTTTTCCCCCGTTCAAGGGTTTTTTTGGGGGAGTTTTTCCTTATCCGCTGTGAGGGTCATAAGGACAAAGGGATATCGTATGCTGTAAAGCCCTGTGAGGCAAATTGTGATTTGTGATATTGGGCTTTATAAATAAAACTGATTGATTGATTGATTGACATGTTGTGGACTTCATCAGCAGATTTGCTGGGTTGTTTTCATCAAATCGGTCTCACTCTGAGGTTGTCAAAAAGCCAACCCTGTCCTTTTTCCTCAACCCAACCACATGCGAGTGTTGGCCAAACCTAACCACTTGCGTTTGTTGTTGAAGGAAAACTATGTTAATTCACTGTGTTGTACCGATGTAGTGTTTATTTTGAAAGAGACTGTATGTAAGCTGTACATTTCCTGTGAAAACAGAGGTCAATGCATGTAACAGGCTGAAGTTGACACAGCATCCCAGAACATCAACAACCAACACACCCAGGGTACCTTGCATATGGCATATGTTGATGTGGAAAGTTCAGGATCAAACATCAATATGTGATGAGGTCAGAGTGAGAATGTGTTGTTTTCATTGTCTCAACTGATAACAGTGGAACCATTTCCATGACAACCGAGCTACCTGACTCACTGATGAAGCCCCCAAGATACAGCAGAAAACACTGCAAGACATCTAGTAACTAGACCATGACACTGTTGAACCTCACAGCAAGAGGGTTCTAGGTTTGAATCCGCTAGCCAGCTGAGGCCCTTGTGTGGAGTTTGCATGTTTTCCCCGTCTCAGTGTGGCTTTACTCCAGGTTCTCTGACTTTCTCCCACAATCCAAAGATACGCAGGTTATTAATGACACTAAATTGCCAGTAGGTGTGAATATGAGCTTGAATGGTTGTCTGTCTCTCTGTGTCAGCCCTGTGATGTTCTGGCGACCTGTCCAGGGTGTACCCCACCTCTTGCCCAGTGTCAGCTGGGATAGGCTCCAACACCTCCACAACCCTGTACTAGGATAAGCAGTTAAGGATAATAAATGAATAAATTAATATTACTACTGGTTTTTCGTATTATGGTGTTCTGCAGTTCTGCATGTATTGTGCAAGTGGTATTGCTGTACCTCAACAGAAGCCATTGCTCTACTGCTGTGTACAATCAAACACTGTACTATTTCTCTATTTCATTACTTTCAAATGGATTAACAAGTGGAAAACTAGAATAAATGCTATGTAGCCTATATCACTGTTAGTTTAGAAAGTCATAGTGTAGAATGTCACAGAAGGTGTCAATTGCCCCCCGGCGACCTGTGCCAGAACACTGAGATTGAGATTTGGCTCTACATCTACCACGACATGTGCCAGCTGTCTGACTGGCGATGTATCATACTACACAAAAAAGGTTCTGTCCGACCATGTTACAAACTGATGCCAACTGTTCTTTCAAACAGCACTGGTCAGGGGCGCCATGTGCGTTTGGGGCTCTGGTAGCAGTATCAGTTTATGCTGTGTTTTTAAGCATTTTAGGTCACCGTTTTAAAAATTCTGAGGAGTGCTTTGGATATGATACGTTTATGCAGCTGAGAACTGAGCGTTTGGACGAAATCTGTCGCCTGTCAGTCAAAGCTGACAAACTTTGTGTATATGGCAGTGTTGCCTGGATCTTCTTGCAGTCTAAAGCCGCATTCAAAGCAAGTTCCGGAGGAACCCAGCGACCCGATGCCTTTGGCAAAATATTATCAATCTGCCTACTGCTTTCGGGAGATATCCATCAGTGTCAGGGCCCTACAAACTTGCAAACAGCGAAATACCGGCAAAATAAGCCTAACATCAGCAGCAGCGGCTGCTGCCCTAACTGCGGAAAGGTGGTAGGAGCAAACTCCAAAGCAGTTGCATGTGACTTTTGTGACGTTTTTGTTCATATAAGGTGCGGGAATATTGCTCCAAAATTGTATGACCGGGCTGTAAGAAATAAGTCAGATATCCCGCTGGTTTGTAACCGGTGTTGTGTGCAGGAAATGTGCAGCGCCGATGTCTTTGATGACACAAATGATGTGAGGACTTAAGATGATGACAGTATGGATGAGAGAGACTATGATTCACTCGGCCTTTTAAATCGGAAAGGGATGCATTTTTTTCACGTCAATGCCAGGAGTCTTCTTCCCAAACTGGATAAATTGGGCACCTCGCAACTACTTCAAAGGCTGCTGTGATCGCTGTGTCGGAGACCTGGCTGGACAGTTCCATTCAAGATGGTGAAGTTGGGCTTTCAGGTTATTACATCTACCAATGAGATCCCAATAGACACAGAGGAGGAGTGTGCCTTTTTATAAGGACTGAAATAACTTTCAATCCGCGTCATGATCTACAGGTGGATGGCTTGGAGGCAGCTTGGGTGGAGTTAATTCTTCCTAAAACCAAGCCCATCATTGTAGGTGTCTGTGACCGCCCACCTAAACAAACAGACTTCTATGAACTCCTTGAATCTGTCTGTTGTAAAATCAATATATGCCTAGAGAAAGAATGTATCATCATGGGTGGTTTTAATACAAATCTATTATTGCCATGAAGTAGCCTAAAAGAGTCTCTTTCATGTCTCTGTAAGGTGTCTGGTTTACAGCAATTAATTACTGAGCCTACTAGGTTGTCTATTAATAGCCAGTCCCTTCTTGACTTGATTTTAGTATCTGACTGTGGAATGATATGTCAGTCAGGTCTGTTGGATGTGGCTTTCAGTGATCATAATGCAGTTTTTTGCACACGCAAGAAAATGAAATATCAGCCAATAAATGAGCATTGTTCCATCAAATACAGATGTACCAAACAGTACTCTGCTGAGGTGTTCAGTCAAAGGCTATCTGAGAGAGACTGGTCAGATGTGCTCGAATGTAATGATGTTGACAAAGCTTGGGATTTGTTCAAGCAGCATTTCATAGCTGTTCTTGATAAAGTTGCACCAATGAGGGAAATAAGAATTAAGCACAGAAGTGCATGTTGGATAACATCTGAAATCGTTGATCTGATCAGACAACGTAACAGATGTTTCATAAAGTTTAAAAAGTCTAAACTACCAGCTGACTATATAACTCTTATGCTAATCTTAGAAATCAAGTTAGTTACAAGGTCCAACAGGCTAAGTCTGAATTTTATTCTGATTCCATTGCTGCAAATGTAAAACAGCCTAAAAAACTATGGAAAATTCTCAATGATATGGGATCAACAGCAAAATCAAAATCAAAGTCTGGTAAAGCGGAGCTTATTATTGAAGATGAGATGTGTTTTGATAAGCGGCTGATTGCCTGCCATTTTAACCATTACTTTACAACTGTTGCTACCAGTCTGGTCAGTAAATTGCCAGGTGCTTCTGATAAATATGGCAATTCATTTGTTAACTCCTTTTATAGAAGTAAAAATGTCTCTGCAGATGCATTTGCAATTAGTCCTGTCTCAGAGGATAAAGTAAGAGCGAGCCTCTCAACCCTGTCAGTGAATAAGGCCACTGGCTTGGACCTCATTCCCTCCAGGTTTCTTAGGGATAGTGCTGGGGTTACATCTAGTATTCTTACCTATGTCATAAATCTGTCCATAAGTCAGGGTGTTTTCCCAAACGATATGAAGAATGCTAGGGTGGTTCCTCTCTTTAAGAAAAATAGCAGAGATGATGTTGGGAATTATCGGCCAGTCTCAATTCTGTCAGCTATATCAAAGATTTTTGAGCGTCTTGTGTATGAACAGGTGGAGGAGTATCTCGTCAGGCATGATCTATTATATGAACTCCAGTCTGGTTTTAGAGCTGCCTATTCTACTGACACCTGTCTCATTCACCTCTTTGACTATGTGCGTCAGAATTTTGATCTAGGGAATTATGTTGGTATGCTTCTACTTGACCTGCAAAAAGCATTCGATACTGTGAACCATGACATTTTGATTTCTAAATTACAGTGCATGGGTTTTAGAAACTCAGCACTCAAATAGTTTACTTCTTACCTAACGGATAGGACACAAGTATGCGATGTTGACATGTCAGCTGCGGTATGGTGCAAGTTGCTTTATATGCCGATGATTCTGCTTTACTTGTCCCAGGGTGTAATGTTAAAGACATTGAAAATACTCTTGGCATAGAGCTTGAGTCTGTCAACCAGTGGCTTGTAAACAATAAGCTCTCTATGCATCTGGGCAAGACTGAATCAATCTTGTTTTGTACAAAAAGGAAGTTGGCAAAATCAAATATTTTAAAGGTGATGTGTAATGGGTCTGAAATTGTGTCTAAATCAAGTGTCACATATTTGGGTCTAACACTGGATCAATCACTTATAGGTGAATCCATTGCAGCCAAAATTTTAGCTAAATGTGCCTGTAAGTTGAAGTTTTTATATCGCAAGACAAAGCTTTTTGATTTTTCTGTAAAGAAATTAATGATATTAACTCTGATTCAATGTCATGTGGATTTTGCTTGCTCTGCATGGTTTTCTGGGTTGACTGTGAAACTTAAAAACAAATTCCAAGTGCTGCAAAACAATGTTATTCGGTACCTGTTAAAAACACCCCCCAGTACTCATATTGGTAGGGAGGAGTTTACAAGAGCTGGTCTACTACCTGTACATCTAAGAGTAGAACAACTTAAGCTGAACCATATGTTTAACATTGTTAATGGTCATGCCCCCAAATATTTATGCTCTAATGTATCCATGGTCCACACGCAGCATAGTCATAACACTAGGGCCAGCATCCACTCCTGCATAGTTACTAGAGCTAATAATGCAGTTAAAAACTCTTTCTTTTACACTGGTATCATGGCATGGAATAGTTTGCCAACTGCTACAAAACGCCTCTCATCACAAGGGATTTTTAAAAGACAGGTCAAGCAGATTTTATGGAACAAGGTGGATATTTATTGATGAACTAGATAGTTTTTACAGCTGTTTCTTATTTACTTTATGTATTTTTAGTCTGAGTTTGTCTGCTTCTTGTTTATTTGTTTTTCGTGTGTAAACACCAAGGACCATGCTGGAAATAAGTATTTTACTTTAGCATGTCATCCTTAGGATTACTGTCTTATTGTCTTCTAGAAATAAAAAAAAAAAAAAAAACAGCAGCATATCATACCACAGCAAAAGTTTGATGCTGAAATCACTGACAAAGCGGCGGTATTGACAAAACAGTGGAGACAGTTCTGTGGTTATGTAATGCATGTTCCTGTGTCTTCCATCATCATCAGGTACAACTATGCTATGATGAATGTAAAGTGGACATTTGTTGTATCGTTGGAGGTACCCAGCTGGCACATGACTGAACTTCAACATTGAAATGTGGTTGAAATTATGTCAGTTGTTGTTGTCAAAAAACAACATTGAAACAATGTTTAATTCTGATGGTTATAAAAAAATTCTTATAAATCAACACTGAAATTTCATAAAGATCTATCTCAATGTTGAAACAGTTTTGAAAAAACAACACTGAAACAAAATTGCGAAATCAACATTGATTCATCTTTCAAAAACAAAACATAATTCAGCAGTGATTCAACCATGGTGTATGATGTTGAATTAACTTTGAATAAACATTAGAATGCCAGCTGGGTAATTTCAGGAATGTTGCATAAGAATTATTGTTTTCATTCACATTATAATCTTTGTTTGTGTGTTTGTGTATGTGTGTGTGTGTGTGTGTGTGTGTGTGTTTACAGACCGTTTTCCTGTGCATGATGATGCTTAAGCAACACTCAGTCAAATGGTGTGCAGTTGTAAACATTTATTCAAGAACATACATAAAGAACAGTCTTACATCCATTTTAAATAAATATATTTGTACGCCACCAACATTATTTAATAAATATTAGTAAATAAATAGCTTTCAAATAAATATATCTTTTGGTAAAGACGTTGCAGTTCCACAATTTAGATGGTAAGACTTCATCTTTACTTTGGATCTGCAAGAGAACAACAACTCTGTTAATAAGACCTTTTATGTTTCCTGATTCATTTCTCTGCGGATGTCATAACTACAACTTACTGTATCTGCCAACAGTGTTGCACCCCAGAGAGCTCATGGAGCCTATTCTGTCCATCCGTCGACCGAAGCAGCCTGAGGATTTCCTGGACGAGTCGTTACGGACGCTCTTCAGGTTCTTTGCTGAGAGGAACTCCCTGATCACTGCCTCATCCAGTCCAGTTTGGGTCCGCTGTTCATCTACTTTTTCGTCTATGTTGAGGCTGTCTAGACCCTCCCTCCCTGCGGGGACACTCTGATCCACATCAGGAGCTGATTCCTCTAGTCTTTGAAGGAGCACCTGCAATGTTCACATATACATGAGTCAGGCCAAGTCTTGCAAATAAATAATTTTTTTTTTATTTTTGCATTGAGCATATGCACATACAGGAGGGGCCTTCAAATATTTCTGGTAACACTTTTAAGCATGTGATGCGTCACAGCCTGATTCTAGAAGCATTAAAAGCATTCATATTTTCTTAAATAAACATGGTCAGGCCAAATGTCCTTCAAGTTAATGTTGGTGACAGGACTGCAGCATTAATTATTTATTACATACTCATTAAACTTATTAGAGCACCAGTTTCACTTCAGTAACAACATACCAGGATCGCATTCCCATAAAATCATAGTTGGTCCCAGAGGTACATATAGGAGGTTGCTGTTAAATGATGATCTCTGTACAATACAATCTATGACTAAAGTTAGATTATGTAAATTAGATGAGGCTGTCTTGTCTCACTGCTGCAGACTGCCTTGAATTTAAAGGATCCATGTTCCTTTGAACTCCAACTTTCCAAAACTAAGTTTCACAAGAACTTATTTAGAGACTCACCTTTAGGATGTCCATGTCAGTGTCAGTCAGACCTGTGCTGATGGGATATGTGCTGAGCAGCTGCACGTTTAAGATGAGAAGGAGGCTGCACAGGAGGATGGAAGACAGATTCATGTTTTTCTTTGAGCTCCTGTTGGTTGTATCAGTGGATGGATGGAGGATCTTTGGCTTCTTTGCCTGGTAGCTGTTTGGATGTGGGAGCTAACAGAAGCAGCCTCAGCTCTTTTATACATAGGCTTGACACACATAAGTATGCCAGGAATTGGACTGGCATTCCTGACACCTGATTCTGATAACAGGAGCTGTCGGAAATGGCTCCTTTTAAAGTATTGTCTCGTAGATATGGGGCATTCGTATGACATAGTTGCTTCCATATGCTACTTTATTTGAGAAACATACTCCAACCTCCCTGTACATGGGACATTGTAGTAGTAGTAAACTATCAGATAGTGTGACAGTGTTACTAAATTGAGGGGTGTACGTGATTGTGGTAGGGTAGCCTGCTGGTTAGATATCTGCCTTTAATTCAAGGCAAAATTCAATCCTCCCTTCTACTGAAGGGTCCTCGAAAAAGATGCAAGTGTCCTACCAGCTCTCAGGTGTTGCTCTATGGCAGACAGTGACCTCTGACCTTTGTTGCGGGAAGCAAGAACACTGTGAAACCTCACTATACATTTATAAACTAGTCTGTCTAACTTATCAATATTTATTTAAACATGAAGGCTGTACTTATCAATACTTTAATATTAGCAATTGACTCACTATAATGTCAGAATGGAGTTACAAACACAGTTGTCCCCCTATCTACACTTCCTCTCAGCTCTACACAACAATTTAGCCTCTTTCAGCTCATTGTTTTGGTTTTGGTTGGGTGTCACCAACAAATTCCCACTCTGACCTCGTCACATATCGACATTTAGTCATGGACTTTTCACACTGAGATCTGAAGTGCAAGGCATCCTGGGTGCATTTGTTGATATTCTGGGATGCCATGTCAACTTCAGCCTGTTACATGTATTGTCTGTTTTCAAAATACACCTTTGTTTTCACAGGAAATGTTCAGTTTGTAAACAGTCTCTTTCAAAATAAACACACTACGTCGGTGAGTGTGAGTGAATTGATGTTTTTTGTCCTTCAACATCAAACGCATGTGGTTATGTTCTGCCAACACATGCAGGTGGATGGGTTTAGGGAACACAAGTACGTGGTTGTGTTTAGGAAAAAAGATCAGGGTTTGGCTTTACAATCGGAAGAGAACACCAGCCTCAGGGGTGAAAGTCAGTGATTGCTGGACCAATCCACCTCGTCTCCCACCTGCCCTACTCGGACTTCTGTCCCCTTAACTTTTTTTGTGTCCCTGCTGTGTTTCCCTCTGACACCACTGGGAGCTGTTAAGCAACTGTTGTGTATCATGCTGATGTGAAAGGATGGCTTTTTTCGTTGGTGTATGATGCCGGAAATCACTGAGGTCTCACTGAGTGAGACAAGGCTGGAACCACAACTTTGGTGGTTTGGTTAAGTTCCAGTCTCATCATCCTGGTTTCCAGCAGCAGCGGGCACTACCAGTACCTGCCCAGCCAACCTACTCACAAAAGAAAATGTTGGCATTGTATGTTTCTAATTTACATTTACATTTATATATTTTTAGATGTTATTATGTAGCAGATATGTTGAAATTTTATGTCTGTTTTATATATATATTTAACACACACGCACGCACGCACGCACGCACGCACACACACACACACACACACATCAAATGTGGAGAGATATCAGAATGATGGGTTGCTGCAGTGCAGTGTCCTGGGCAGTCAGGGGTGTGGTGCCTTGCTCAAAGGCACACTGGCAGTGCCCAGGAGGTGAACTGGCTATTCTCCAGTTCTCCGGTCACAATCCGTACTAGCTTTGTGTGGGGACTTGAAGCAGTGACGATCTGGTTCTCACTACTTCCTGAGCCACATCCCCACAGGCTGAGCTACTGCTGCCTAAACGAGTTTAGAGAGGGAATGTCTCTTTGCTGAAAATGACAACAATTTATAGACATCTAAAGCATGACAAGAAACCCTGCCCAAACACTGCTTCCTCTTCTTCTTCTTCTTCTCCTTTGATGTGTTTATGAGGTCACAGGTCAAAATGGTTTATTTTTAAGAGTGCATTGAATTTTATAAGCTTATCATGTGTTTTGTATGTGACATCCAACCTATAGTGTAAGAGGAAGGTAGAGTACAAAGAAATATTTCCCTCTTACCAGTGGCCAGTGAATACTAGATGAAAATATTAAGTAGCATGAGTAAATAAGTAAAGTACAAGTTGCTCAAATTTATACTTTAGCACAGTACTTCAGATGTACTTTTACTTTGTTTACAAGTGCATTAGACTTTAAAAGGGTAAGAATGAAGTTCTTTCAGAAACTTATTTCTCTCAAGCAAGCTCCATTTCATTTCATTGTAAAATGTTTTGATTTTCATTCATCATCATATGTGATCTGTAACAGGCCAGGTGGTAAGAATGATGTAACTAAAAAAGAATGTGACTAAAGCAAGATTTCCATACATATTTTTGCATGTGTCAAGTTGGACACGGGCCTTTTCATTCGGTAAGAGCCACAGTCAATTAGCTGATGGTGTGGATCCAGATATCCTTGCAACATGAGTTATATATTTTTGTTGTCCACTAAAACATCCACTTTTAAAGGCTACGATGACACTGACTGTTTGTTACATGACTGACCTCTGAAATCCTTCATGTTCAACTAGGTGAAGGTTTTAATCTGCCAATGACACTTAAACGTTCATCATCTATTATTCACTGCATCCATTTTTGTATTGTTCCAGCATATGTAATGTTAAACTGATCATGTCATGTCATTAAATTATTATCTGTACGAAGAAGAAATTTTCACTTTTCTAAACTGTTGCGTCATTTCTTACCCGAAATAGTTATGATTGAACACCTGACAGCAGACGATCATATTAAAATGTCATTGATATGAATTGAATGGTTTCCCATCTATCACACCAGTTTATTTAACGTGCATACAGCATGACAATATTCCCTCTGAAAATAATTCAGCTGCTTTCAGTTATGCCCAGAAAAAAAGAGACAAACTCAGTCACAGATTCAGCTATTATGCAAAATAATTATTTTACTACAATACAATCTATTACAAGGCAACTCTATCCAACAAGAAAATAATAAATAATAAATACATTTACAATAATTTATTATTTAATAGCTCACATATGAAAAAGGAAATCACAGTTCTAAATGAGAACCATGAACAGGAGAGAGTGAAGTAACCGCCCTTTAAAGTGTCAGTCAAAGATCTGTGACTATGAGAGGAGCTCCGCTTTGCTGATGGTCATGCTGATGTGCAGATGGGAGAACCCCGACCTCATCCATGCCTGCTGACAGAACAAAAACACATGATAGCATGTTGAAACACGGTTTGTTACATTTTCAGAACTGCAGCTGCTGCATGTGCCCTGCAATGAGCCACCAAAGCTCCAGCAGCTCCAATACAAAAGCTCAGTAACACTCAATGTGGTGCTCATTGACTCAGTGATTATTATTTTTATTATTAGTTTGTATCAGTTTGCATAAGATTTGCATAATAACTTGATGTCCACAATGAAACACTCAAAAAAGGTCTGTAAAATATTTGACTATACATTTACAGTAAATTACTAGCTACTAGTTGCATTACTTTCATAGTAAGTGAATAAGGGTATCATTTATACAATAAACTGCTGTGAAATGACAGCTTTATACTGTGATCTTACAGTAGTTGATCCTACAGTAGTTATGCGTGTATATTATTGTGATTTAGCAGTATGCTCCTGTAAAATAACTATATTTAACTGTAACCTCACTGTTAAAGCCCATAAGAGTACTGTTTGAATATCACAGTTATAGCCTGTAAGGTGATAATAATGTAATTTATTTTGAAATAGTACAGTTACATATTGTAACTTTATGGAAATAATTTGTAGTGTACGTATTAATGTGCAGTAATTGATAATGTAGATAATGATAATGCGTTTTATTTTGAGGTACTCACCTATTTTGCATCATATTTTACCAGCATTGTTTCTTTCACTCTATTAGTACTTTAATGTTTTTACTGTATGTCACAAACACCTGTGAGTATAAAGAGAAATTGTCATCCATTTAATATTGACTCATATTTGACACTAAATTGACAGCACCTCTGCTTCGTGTTAGGAAAAGAGAATTCCATTCTCTAACTATTTTCTCTGATTTAAATAAATATGAAGTGGAGGAATAAAGTCACATCCCTCCGCAGATCCTACCTTCAGCATCCCAGCCCGCTGAAGGAGCCGATCCTCTCTAACCGGACACCGAAGCAGCTCCTCAGCCCGCCCTTCTTGTGCCGGCTCCACGAACGCTTGGAGGTCCTCATGAGCTCTTTGAAGAGACGCAATAGGATGTTTTCTTTGGCCGCCAGAGCCGAGTTGCTGGGGTCGGAGGAGTCCCACGGGTGCTCCTCTGGAGTTCCAAATACCGACTTGTCTGCCTCTTTCCCCGCCACCTCCATCTCCTCCGAGGAGTAATAGGGCGCGGTGTTGATCTCCTCCTCTAAAAGCTGCTTCAGACTCTGTGGGAAAAATAAAGCACATTTCTTCAATCTCTATTTCACTTAAATATCCAGCGTAGTGGAGATAACCTCACAGTTCTTTACTCCTCGTGCACTGAGGCTACAATAGTGTAGGCCATATTAAGTCAAACTGATTATTTTATCTATCTAACATGCATCTATAAGTAGGCTACGAAGAATATTTATTGTTTGATAAAACTATGTGTTCATCATTGAAATAAGCCACCTTAGTGTCTTATCACTGACTCTTGAATCTGTATACCAGTTACAGGTAAACTTACTTGTAGATCAGAAACAGGACTGGCTGATGCCAAGTGCAGCAGTAAAAGCAGAGATAAACAGCAAACGGAGATATTTGGGTTCATTTTCTGTTGCAGTTGGAAAAAAAAAATCTTTTTCTGTGAGGACTGGCTGGCGCACGACTCAGTCTGTCCCTCCTCCTCTGTGTCGCGCTGTCTAGCGGTGGCCAGGTGGCTCCTTTATAGGCGACCTGATTCCGTCACGAGGCCTGGGAAAATTAACGAGGTGTGACTAATGCTCCTCCAAGTGGGAGTACAGGCTA